CCTGCTGAAGGACAGGGGGAGAACAGGGAGACTTTTCACGATACAGAAATACACCCCAGACCAGAAAGGAGACTTTTCCAAAAGCTGTCCTAAAATACCAGGTGAAATAAAACAAAAAAAAATATTTCTTTTGCCACCTTAATTACATGATTTGTACACACAACTCTGAGAACAACTTAAGGTTGCTGCTAAAATATGCTTGTGCGTTCTCCTGGCTTTAAAACAACCCAAGTCTGTCCGGGAGCTCCCCACAGCCTGAGCTTGGCCAAGGGACCTAGTGGTGCTGCCGGCAGCACAGGGCTCGCCCTGGGCTGCGAGACGTGGGTCAGTGCCACGCCAGCTCCCCTGCTGCGGTACGAATACCAGTCCATGGGGTTTGGTTTTTTTTTTGAAAGAACTGTTGAGCCAGTCAAACCATTTCAGTTTCACAGCAATTTTCACTTGCAAATCATAAATAAAAACTGCAAATGCCCGACGTTCTTACCTGATATTTAAACCAATGAAGTTTGTCCATGTAAAAATATAGTCTCCTCCAAAAAACATCCCAATATAAGTTATTAAAATATTCTGCAAAGGAACGAGATTTCAGCAACAAGAGCGTAAGTTTCTATACAGCCCGAGACAAGTGCATGCTCTATGCATTAAAGCAGTATGGAGGTGGGAAACCCCGGATGCAGATAGTGAAATAGGCAAGCGGTGACAATACTGGATTCAAAGCAGTTGGTTTGTTTTAGAGCTGCTGAGAAACGCTCCTGAATGGAGGCTTTGATTGCTGGGGCAGCAGGGCAGTGCAGCTCCCAGGCTGCGATGCTCTCCCTCATCTCGAGACCAGCACTAAAGCCAGAAAAACATCCAGGAGCGCCCGTCTATTTTCGCAACGGGCTCATTGGGCCGAGGTGACCCAGATGATCATGGCTGTTTCTGGGTGTTTTGCAAGTCATTAGCCCTGGGTGAAGCTAAATGCACTGACCACAGTCAGCACTACGCACGGCTGCTTGTTGTGACTGCCGTACAAACACCCACAGAGTATCTCTGTACTCCAGACAGCAGCAAAAAAATAATAAATAAAAAAAAATAATCCCATCGGAGCCACGCCCCCTCCATGCAGCACACAGCAAAAGCCCCAGAGCCTCCATCCAGCCCTTCCCGTGCTGCTGCTGAGCAGACACCGCTGCCTGTGCGGGCAGAGCCGGGGGACGTGCGGTGCTGGAGCGACATGAAGCAGGTGCAGGGAGGCTGTGGATGCCCCGAGGCTGTTCATGGCTTTTGCTGGGGTAACTTCTGCAGGCAGGCAGCACCTTGCCGCACATCCCGGGCAGGCAGCGGGGAGGTGCAAGATGACTCAGGCCATGCAGAATTGGAGAGCGCCGTGGTGCCAGGGAAGTTCCAAGTGCTCACTGAGCCCCCATGCCAACAGCTAAAGCCGCTGTTTAATACAAGCCCCAAGCAATGATTACCGCGATGCTCGCCTGACGGCACCCCCGGGAGCAGAGAAACCCACTTACCTTAATGCAGCCAACTATTGTAGTTGTAAGAGCAGAATTATACTGAGTGCAAAGAACCGTGGAGTACATCAAAATAAACCTGCAGGAGGAAGAGCCAACATCAGGCTCCATGAGCCAGCAATGTGCGCTCGCAGCCCAGAAGGCCAATCGTATCCTGGGCTGCATCCAAAGAAGCGTGGCCAGCAGGTCAAGGGAGGTGATTCTGCCCCTCTGCTCTGGTGAGACCCCACCCGGAGTGCTGTGTCCAGCTCTGGAGCCGCCAGCATAAGAAAAACACGGACCTGTTGGAGCAGGTCCAGAAGAGGGCCACGAAAATGATCAGGGGGATGGAACAGCTCTCCTTTGAAGAAAGGCTGAGAGAGTTGGGGTTGTTCAGCCTAGAGAAGAGAAGGCTTCGGGGAGACCTTATTGCAGCCTTTCAGTACTTAAAGGGGGCTTATAAAAAAGATGGCGGGAAACTTTTTAGCAGGGCCTGTTGCGACAGGACAAGGGGGAATGGCTTTAAACTAAAAGGGGGTAGATTTAGACTAGATATAAGGAAGAAATTTTTTATGCTGAGGGTGGTGAAACACTGGCACAGGTTGCCCAGAGAGGTGGTGGATGCCCCATCCCTGGAAACATTCAAGGTCAGGTTGGACGGGGCTCTGAGCAACCTGATCTAGTTGAAGGTGTCCCTGCCCATGGCAGGGGGGTTGGACAAGATGACCTTTAGAGGTCCCTTCCAACCCAAACCATTCTATGATTCTATGACACGCTTCAGGCATTGCCATTCATCTCTGCATCTCTCCTCCTCTTTTCTAGAGCGGTATTTGTACCACCACTTTTTTTGGCTAAACCTGCACTGAAGCAGGGTAGGAAATAATTTCCATCTGCCATAGCTCTAGGAAATGGTGTCCCTATCAGGACTAAAGATTTAGATACATTTTTTATTTATTTTTTTTTAACCTAGAACAGCTCAGACCACCAAAATATGCTACTGCTGGAACCCACCCACCCAGCCGCTGGTTGACGGCTGTGCCCCAGCCCTCGGGGGCGGGCAGCACCTGCCGTAGCAGTGTACATGCTTACCCCATTACACACGACAGCGTAAACTGCACAATGAAGAGCGTGTCTGCCCAGCCCTGGTACTCCATTGCCTGCAAGAAACACACCCCAAACCTTAGAGGAGGAGAAGGAGAAGCAGTAATTCACAGCAAGGTGAGAAACAAACCTCCGACATCGGCTTTCACGTCACAGCAGGAAAAAAAAAACAAAACACAGCCCAGCCTGACATCCTGGGGCCGCAGAAGGGCCGGCTGCCCACGGCAGCATCACCTTCCAGCCCAAATGAGCACCCTCTTCCTGGAAAAAGCACTGAATAACAGTCATACAAGCAGGAGGAACCAGAAAAGAGGTTTCCCAGCCACTTGTTGTCCAAAATCACCCTCTTGAGAGCCCCTCAGCAGCAGCTGAGGTTGCCCACATTTTGTGCATCCGAGCTGCTGGCAGCAGCGGAAGCCTCTGAGGCCCCTGGCCACATCGGGGCTTGCTGCAACGCAACCCCAGTGAGAGAGCCCTGCCACCGCCACCCACAGCGACAGCTCTCTGGGGTTCCGACATTTGAAAGGGACATGAAAAGTTCACATATAGATTTAGTAAATTCTGGGGGGGAAGCTCAGAAGAGCTCTCACCAGGTGCCGGGATTAGCAGAGCAAACTGCAACTTTAGCCAGCATGTCCCAGAGGAATTTAACCTCTAGGGACAGTGGTGACAAAACGGCTAAAGGAAGTCTGGATTTCACAGTAGGGCTTTTTTTAATTGGGTTTTGTTTGGTTTTTTGGGTTGGGGGGGGGTTGTTTGTTTGTTTGGTTTTCTTTAATTATTTATTTAAAGTTACACTCCACGCAGCCAAACCCACGTTTTTGCCAGCTGCAGGTCTGGGGATGACTCCAAGGACAAAGCTCCAGCAGCAGAAGATGGTTTGCAGCGGGGACAGGGAGGGAGGCCAGAGGGTGGTGCTGCCAGCCAGGCTGGGGACACGGGTCAGAAGGAACATCATGCAGCTCAACAAGGGGAAGTGTAAGGTCCTGTCCCTGGGGAGGAACAACCCCAGGCACCAGGACATGCTGGGGCCGGCTGGGAAGCAGCTCTGCAGAACGGTCCCAGGGTTCTGGTGGACACCAGGTTGATCATGAGCCAGCAACATGCCCTCGCTGCAAAGAAGGGGAATGGTTTCCTGGGCTGCATTGGACAAAGTGCTGCCAGCAAGTCAAGGGAGGGGTTCCTTCCCCTCTGCTCAGTGCTGGTGAGGCCACCCCTGGAGTGCTGGGTCCAGTGCTGGGCTCCCCAGTGCGAGAGAGACATGGACATACTAGACAGAGTCCAGGCAAGGGCCACTGATATGAAGGGACTGGAGCATCTCTCCTATGACGAGAGGCTGGGAGAGCTGGGACTGCGCAGCCTGGAGCAGAGCAGGCTCAGGGGGATCTGTATAAACACCTGCAGGGAGGGTGCAGAGAGGACAGAGCCAGGGTCTTCTCAGTGGTGCCCAGGGACAGGACCAGAGGCCACGGGCACAAACTGACACACAGGATGGTCCCTCTGGACATCAGGAAACACTTTTTCACTGTGAGGGTGACCGAGCGCTGGCACAGGTTGCCCAGGGAGGTGGTGGAGTCTCCATCCATGGAGATATCCAGAACCCATCTGGACATGGTCCTGGGCCACCTGCTCTAGGGGATTGGACCAGATGAGCTCCAGAGGTCCCTGCCAGCCTCAACCAGTCTGTGATGCAGTGAGGAAGTGAGGACAGAACAGGGCAATAGCTGGTCCCTCCGACCTCCCCCCCACTGGGGCAGGGACTGGCACAGGGGAGAGAAGGGCTGCCAAGCACACGGGGATCCTGCCAGGCAGCTGGGATGGTGCTTTCCAACAGGGACATGAAATGCCAGCCTGAGGGGGACCTTCCTGCAGGCAGTCCATCCCCTTCACCCCCAGGAATGATTTGCAGGGCTTTGCTCACCGCCATCAGCATGCCCATTTCTGCCTCTCCCAAAGCATGGCATGATGAGACATTGTTACCTTTGATGCTTGTTAATGAAACACAAAATTTAACACATCCACATGCATGAGTATAGTGAGAGGCTTTCCTATGCAACCCCCCTCTCCCCAGCATGGCCCCCCACGATGCAGCCCCCCATCCCAGCTCTGCCCCAGGAGCCATTCCCGTGTGAGACATGTTCAGCTGCACGCCTTTCACAAGAAGGTTTTTCATCAGGCTGCAAACGTGGAGTTTCCTGGCAGCAGCCCCAACAGAGTGCATCTTTGTCTGCCTCTGGCTGCCAGGAGCTCAGCCAGGGAAAAAGAAGTTTATTCAGGGGAGACAAAAAAAAAAAAAAAAAAAAGGCGATTTCTCCACAGGCTGAACAGAGGCTGCACAGTGCAGCACAGAGCAACATTTTGCTCCCCGGCTGCCAGTTCCTGCTTATAAATGAGCACTTTATCCCCAAATATATCCCACTGAGTCGCCCTTTAAGAAGGGCAGGGTCTGAGCTACCTTCACCCCATGCAACCACTTCTCCTTGCTAATCGCAGCTCATTATCTTAGCAACTGCTTACTGGGGCTCGTCATCAGGGCATTAAGCTCCTAATGAGAAAAAAGCCACCAGGCTCTCCCTGCCCAGGTATGGCTGGGGGGGAGATGGGACAGGGGTGTCTGCAGGGGCCATTGGCACCCATGGGGGTCTGGGTGGGCAACACCTCCAACCTTCAGCATTTGCCTTCCCTGCTCATGGAGAGGGATGCCCCTTTGTGCAGGCATGAAAAGTGAGTGCTCTTGCTCAGGAGAGCCAACCGAGTATAGCTGCACATGAGTGTAATAATAATAATAATACAATATAAATTTCTTGTACACAGAACCGCATGTAAATCAGATCGTGCCCTGTTGGGACAACACGGGCAAACTGATCTCCAGAGCAATTCAACATAATAACCACCCCAGTAAGAGGGAAGGACAGAAAGAAGTTTGAAGACGCCCATTTATTCTAAAAATACTTGACTTCTTTGTTTTAAATAATATTTGGTTTCACTTATTGCTCTCGCACTTCCCCATTCCTCAAGCATTACAAAAATGCTTGAATGGAGCAACTCTGTGGATTTAAAGTCCAATGTAAGACTTACAGTTACTTTCTACTTACACGGCTTCCCTCTCTACCCCAAAGCCTGGCCTCAAACCATCCTCTGCCCCAGCCTCTTCCCTCAGATGCTACGCAGTACTTATTTGCAAATTGGGGATAATGAACTACTTTGTAGTTTCACATTTTGAGTATTTCCCATTTTACGCAGGAAGGCTAAGTTACAGAAAAGTGCGTTGTAACGAACAGTAAAATGTTCTTCTAAGCAACCCGTTTTGCCCATAAGGTATTGAGCCACTAAAGGTTTTGCTTTTGGGGGCAGGAATCCTACCTTTTGCGCATCTCCGGTGAAGTAGGCAATGGTCAAGGTGGGAAAGATCATAAACAGTGCATTGTAATAGAGCAGACCGTATTTTCCCAGTTCCTAGAAATAAGAAACATCTGTGTATTTAAGTTGGTTCCAAACAGGAACATAAAGCCTTATTCATATTGCTACTGAAGACTGGGTCTTGTGAGCTAAATCCACATGGGATTCTCAGAGACGAAGAGTTGGGAGTTTTGTTTGTTGTCGGTTTTTTTAATATATATATGCGTGTGTGTGTATATTTATATATTTTTATTTTTTAATATATATGTATATTAAAAAATACATAAAAGAGACTTGGGTGACAAGCTTGCAACAGGCTTTACAGCCCCCACCAATCAAAATGCCTTTTCTTTGCTGTCGCAAGGGACTGCGGTCGTAACCAGCACAGGGGCACGGCTTTGGCTAGCACCATTTGGCAACACTGGCACCAAGAGCAGCACAGCAGTATTGCCAAACCTTCTGGACAGGCGGTTTTGGGAGAGGGATGGGGTAGCGCCGAGTGAGCCTCCCCTCTTTGCCCCCTCAGATGCAAGCTGCTGCCAAACCAAGCGCAACACTGCAATGCCCAGAACGAAGCCGAAGGTCAGCCTACCTTTGAATCCAGCTTCTGTTTCACATAGGCACCGTTTGCAGCTGTTAAGGCATCGTTAATAAGGATAAAAATATATCCTTCCAGATCGAATGCCAAGTCAGCACTGGGAAAGGAAAAAACACTGAGTTAAAGCTTTAAGCTGTGCAGAGTGTAACACTTGCAAGATTTCTTCCACATTCTGTTTAGCCAATAAGTTGTCAGAGTTAATCATACAAGGAGGGACTGGGATTTGGGTCAGTAAAACATTCTTTCCTACTAGAGAGCATGTCTGAGAGTAAAACATCAGCATTTACTCTCTCTCCTTGGGACGTACTGTGGTACTTGATTCACCTTAGCTTTGCTGGCTGGCCCACACAGGGACCCTTCAGAGACAGAGGAGAGGGGAGAGCAAACCGGGAGCTCACCTAGCAGCTACGAACGCACCGATGATCATAGCAAATACTGTCATCTGAATACTCCAAGAAAACTTTTTCCTGAAAAAGAGATGTAGAACGACATTGCCGTCATCTACAGTTAAATCTTCACTGAAGTATTGCGAGCACTTTGGAGAATAGCAGGGAGAGGCCTTTCCTCCCAGCACATACTGGGGGGGGGGGAAGGGGGAAACCCCAAGCAAACCAACCCGTGCAAAAGCAGCAAGTAAAAGCCAGACATTTTTAGACAATTACCTCTATGATTTAAAGAAATACAACTTAGCATTGATGAGGTTCAAATTTATGGAGTGCTACAACTCTGCCTATGGCAGCGAACGGTTCAGCTGTGCACGGGGCACTTGGCACTGCGTAGGGACCAGCCCAGCACCCTGGGCACTGCAGTGCCAGCCCTGGGGAGGGGGCTGTCAGCACACAGCGTGAGCAGTTTTGGGGTCTCTGCAGGCACCCAGGTGGCAGAGAGCCATTAGCAGGGGCAGACGGGCACAACACCCTCTGCTTCCAAAACTGCACTGCACAGCCAGGCTGCTGCAAGCGGAGACAGAGCACATCCATCTTCCCCCCACCTGGCAGCTACACATCGCACCTTGTCTCGCCCAGCTCCCTCCAGGCATGCAGAGAGGCAGCAGGGAAAAGGGCTGTGCACATCAAGGCAAGCAACACACTGCTGCTCTCTGTATCCGCTTCCTCCGCCCACCCTCATTCCTAAAACCTAGCTTAGAGCCAAAACCCCTGACCACACGGATCTCTGACACACAAAAACTCACTGACATGCTGCACGTCATTCCAACACCTTCAGACTTGTGTAACTCTAACCGGTATCTGTCACCGAGAGCCCTGGAGAGAAGGGGCTGGGAAGACTCACTTGAGCAAGAATCCTTCGGCAAACATTGTAAACAGGATGGAAAACCTTCGCAGGACGGTGAACATCGGCAGGCTGCAAGAGGAAGTTTTAGCAGGGTGAAAGGGCTTCCCCCCTCGGGTGCTGACGAAACGCAGCTCTGCAGCCACCCGCAGAGCAATGCCCCAAGCGGGCGCTGGGATAAGGGCTCCAGAGAACAGAGCCATGGGCGAGCCTGCCAGTTTCCTTACGGGAACTCTGTTACTCCCACACCCGAAAAGGTATCGCTCATATCAGACCTTGTCAGGGTGGGGGACCCCGGGGACGGCCCCAGACCCTCACCTACAGTGGGCGAGGGCCGGACCTGCATCCCTCCCTTACCCACAGGCTGGGGGAAAGCATTCGGAAACACGCACGTGGCTTATTTTAGCGTGGGCAGAGGATGAACCATATCGCCCCGAGCGGCTCCTGCTCGGTCACCCACACCCCTGCAAAGCCTTAGGGCCCAGCAGCAGCTCCCCACAAACACCGGACCCCCCACAAGGACCCTGTTGTATACCCCCCAGTAGAGAAAAGCCAGCCATACTTCAGTTTCTTTGTGCTGAACAGTCCTGTGATCTGGTTCCCAAAATACAGAAGAGGTAGAGGAAACGTCTAGAAAATTTTAAGAGGGATAACACACTGTGTGAGCGACCAGAGAAAGCCAGGGAGCTCCCCAGCAGCACCTCATTTTATAAATGTGTATGAAATTATTTCCACCCGCGATGGAAATGTTCACACATGCACGTGTCCCAGCTCCTCAGCCCAGAGCTGCCCCACGGCCGCAGGCTCCCGCATGGCTCGCTGCTCCCAGGGCGACGAGCACTGGCATCCCGCTGCCAAAAAGCCTGTGGTGCCCACCAAGGGTGAAGGGCTGGGGCAGAGACCACCACCCAGCCTCGGGGCAGAGGAGAGGTGCCCAGGGAGGGAGCTTACCCGCCGGGGGACCTGCCTGCCGCGGTCGGGGAACTATCTCACCTGGCCCAGCCCCACACACACAGCGGATGGGAACCTGCGGGCAGAGAGCAGACATCAGTGGGGGCACCCATGTCAGGGGATGGGGGGG